ATAATTAAAAGATATAGGAAAAAAATCATGATCAGTGCAAGTCAATAAAGTTCCCAGACAAAGTCAATAAAAGTAATTTGGCAAACAGTAAATAGGCAGGAATTATTTGATATAATGTCGATTAGACGGTCAGGATAAAGTAGAAGCAGATTATGATCACTGTGACTGCCTGAAAATGTGTTTTTTTTTTTTTTTGAGGAGCTGATAATTTTACCCACCATAGCTCCTCACAGTCTTGGGGGGAAAAGTTAAAAATATGTATCATCAGTGGAAAAACTAAGGAAGCTCCACTGTAACATCATTTAATTGGGGCAACTGTGATCCTGGTTCTCAGTGTGCTCGACTGCAGATGTTTTTCTGGTGTTATGAGATGTGGTGATGAAAATGAGATGTAATAAAAGCACGAATAACTTTTTTTTCCAGCAGATGGAACAGCTGTTACATCATGAGATGCTTTTGCACAGACATAACAGGAATATCCAGAAAGGCTGGAGATGTTTGGGTTCTTTTTGTAGTCAGATTAATAGAGCTGAGTAGATGGAAGTCAGCGATCATAGATTCATTATCATTAACTCGCAGCTTAGTGATATATCTTAGTCTGGAGATATCACTCTATTTCTGGAATCAAATCATCGAGGTGAACCTCCTGCTGTAATTTAACAGAGGATTCAAGTCTAATCATTTCATTACAGATGAGATATGAACCTTTTTTTTTTTTACACCGAAAATGCTTTTTTTAACGTTCTATCAGTGTAATGTAAAGGTTTCGACTCATGGGTGCTCACTGGGGGAATAGATATCTTGTTTTGCAAATAATTTGTCATGCATGCAGAGGAAAGTTTACCTGAGAGTGTAGATCGGCAATTCACTTGTAGCTGAATGGTTTGATCTGTTTGTTTCCAATGTTATCGAGCACTTTATATTGGCTTCCATTATGTATCGACAGAACATTTCCTCTGAATAATTCAATTACAGCAACACCTTTATTTCAGACGTGTTTCTCACATTGATTAAAGGCTCTTTGTAATGCGAATTTAATCAAGAAAGAAGTTAAATCTATTCACGGAAAACTAAATCCATTCAAATACAGTGGAGAGGATGCATCGCCTCTAACAGCACGAAATGATCTATCAGTAAGCTATGTTCTGAGCCATCTGAAGCGCAATAACTGTGACATAAACCCTTTTTCGAGGAGCTCAAGCACGATGGCCTGGTCTGTGGTGTCATCTGCCTCACTGAGATCAAAAAGAAACAGAGCAATCACAAGCACAAGCAGCGACGACGGGAACACAAGGGAAAAAAACAACTTTCGTCCTTGGAATCTCTCAAAACCTAATTTAACCTTCTCGACACATTATTATTCATAGAAAGCAGCAATTTGGAGAAACAACATTTTGCCGAACATTGGCAAAATAAACATTTGAAATATGTAAAAAGAAAATTGCTGTATTGTTATCAATAACAAACTGCACATCTTGAGATTGAGAAGAAGATTTACTCCGGGTTATTAAATACTGATCGGCTACCGTACTCAAAGGGGAAGATCTTCATATTGACTTGCATTTAAGACTGAAATCTCTGAAGTCCTGGCAGAGTTCTTACTTTAAGCTCTGGATATTATTCATGGGAATGCAGAGTATGTTTGGAGATGTCCTTTTTAACATTTCATAAAGTCCCGGAATCTCACTTGAGGTGACTTGTTCCACCCCACACGGCTCCATATCCATTATAGATGGGCGGCTCAGCCGTGCCAGCAGTATACATATGTTTACAGCTGTGAAATGCAACATGTCACTGAGTCACTGAGAGGCCTTAAAAAATACCCATCTGTATTGGATGGATCCCTAATGCCTTGTTGTAACATTGTAACATTATTCTCATGAATATATCAGTAACACATAAAGAGATGCATGTATAGAGTCAAAAACAGGACCATCAGGAATATTATACAGTTTGTTTCAGAGGTTGGTGGAAAATAATTAATTAATTTCTTATCAAAATCCACACTTTTTGCAAATCATTATACACACTGTTGTTATTTATTGCAATTAGTTTATAAATGAGAAAATGTGCAATTTATGAGAATCCACTTTTCAGATTAAATGGACGAACAACGAAGGGAGCATGGAGGGAAGAGAAGAGAAGGCTGTCATGTTATTGAAAGAAAAAATGCTTAATTCCCTATATGTGCTGAAGAGACAGTTTGGCCTGAAATGGCATTTTTCTCAGTGTAAGATAGTGTTGTATGAGGTGAAACAGAATTTAAATGACCTTGGAGTACATCAAAGTTGTCCCCGACTTAAACCCTGTTTTAAGCGAAAGCGGCCTTTGATTGTGTGGTTCAAGACCATGCAGGGCAGTAAGGTGTTTCTGGTATTTCACTTTTAAGCACACAGCTTCAAATGGGATTAATAGTTTATGTTTTCAGTCTGGTGGTTCTCAGTATTTGTTTGAAGAAGCTGGGGAGGATTTCTACACTTCCAAGATATTCAGTGAGACTTTGTAGAAAACTCTCTTTTTTCATCTTAAGGTCTTTTGTCATTCATCGAAAAACTCAAAGTTTGAGCTCAGGCATTCATGGGCAACCAAGCAAGTCAGGCAGGAGTTTATTTACCTAAATTCAATATGAACACATTTAAAAGTCAGCAGGTGAAAGTAATGAAGCTCTTTCTGTCCTCCTATGAACTGAAAAATTGAGGTTCAGGCAAACACTGACTAAAAAACAAAACCCTGTCTCTTAATACTATGAAACTTTTTGTAGTCAGGGTGGATGGTGGGGTGTACTATGGGAGGAAGTGTTGTTCATAAACTAAGTAAATGTAATTTATGGGAATAAAGAAAGATAAAAACACAAAGGGGGAATGTTTATATCAAACAATGAGCACATCAGAACAAATTAAACCAGAGAAAAGATAACACGCCGATAGTGTCTCAGCTTAATTTACAAAATTACTTTGCTCTGTATTATTTCACAAGACTTATGAGTTTGCAGCCATGCTAGTGGTTCTATGAGACTAAGCATAGCGGCGCTTTGAGCTAAAGGTTAACCCAAGCATGCTAACACGCTAATGATAAGGAGATTACGCTCACTGTCGTAGTTGAGTTACAGTTTGTTAATGTATGTTAATTAACTTAACAATACAAACTACATCTGAGGCTCATGGGAATGAGATAACTTTGGCAGGTGTTTCGTGTTGACAGACCCACATTGTCAGTTCTAAAGTTATGCTACAGCATTGTTTAAAAAAACTGAATTGAATAAGACGCAATAAGCTATGATTTAAGTTTCTCCTGAAATACTTCTCTTTAATATTATGAGAAGCCTGTGCCAAGCTTTCTTTTGTGTTTCATTAAAGGTTCAGTGTGTAGAATTTAGTGGCATCTAGTGGTGAAGTTGCATGTTGCAGTTAATTCCCCTCATCTCACCCTCCCCATCCAAACATGAGAGAGAACCTGTGGTGGACTTCAGTTGTTTAAAAACTCAAAGGCTTTTAGTTTGTCCAGTCGGGACTACTGTATAAAACATGGTGGCCTCTGTAGAGACGGTCTGCTCCTGATGTAAATATGAAGTTTTTAAATATAAAGGGCCCATTCTAGGGTAAGAAAAACAAGAATTTGTACAGTTTAGATGAAACACACTAGTGAAAACATAAGGATTATTATTATTATTTATTTTATATTCAATTTCTGCAAATGGATCCCTTTCACCTAAATCTTTCACACTTGACCTTTAATGTCATGTCAGAATCGAAAGCACGGAGAAGATCTCAGCTCCTGACTAATAGAAATAAAATGATGTCCCAATGTTGCACAGTCTGAATCTCTTTCCCTTTTCAGTGAAATGATAAAGTAAAACACCTGGGTTGTGTTAGTAAGAGGGCAGGTTTTGTTGTTTTCTGATCGAGCCGAACTCATGCTGAACTGAATGTTGGTTTTGAAGCCTCTCAATCCCAGAGTTCTCTCCATCGAGTGAATTTCTCCTTCACCTTCTTAACCTCCTCCAACAACAGGGCTCTCTCCACAGTAAGCCTGTTTGTTCCATCAACTGCCACTTCCACTACCTGGGGAAACAAAAACTCTTCTCTTCCTGTTTTAGTTTTGTACTCTAAATTGAGGTTCTGTTTCCCAGGGAGAATTCGTACCCGGTGACATCAAAGTTTATAGCAAACTAATCCAAATGCAAGAGGTGTCATTTGTAGAGTCAATTGTCAATGGCAATTACATTGTGCAATCAACATTTACCTCTTGATAATAAGAAGTTGTCTATCGCCACATTAAGGTGTCGATGACGAGAACAAACATCACTGAATAATAAATGGAGGCAAAAAAAGTACATCTCAACTCCTGTAGCTAATGTGATTCACTGTGTTCTTGTAGTGCTGCTTAGTTAATTTAATTTGTGTGACAAGAAAGCGAGTAGGAAAAATAAACCAAAATGAATTTTTAGGACTCTGCACCATCGAGAGCTAACCGAGGAAATCAGATATGCTCCCTGTAATCTTCCTTTGACATATTGCAAACGATATTATCAACGCTCTCCCTTCCTGTTTGGTCTCTTCATCCTGACTTGCCTTGACAGACAAATCCTGCCACGGTTGGCAATAAATTCAAGAACGAAACACGAATTACAAAAGCGCAAGTATTTACCAGCCTGGAGAGAATTGGGATGTTTTCATGAGGGGATGGAAATGAAGAGTTCTTGTTTTTTAACCTGTTTTGTTGATGACTGCTGCACCGCCACCTCCACAACCTGTCAAAGTGACAGCTCTGGCAGCGCTCGGGCCCAACGCTGACATTATGTGGAGATGGTAAATAAGGAAAAATATCTGGCGACTAAAAATGATTCATAGTTAGTCCCAGCTCCTGTTTCCAGAAGAGTTGTCACATTAATTTAGCAAATCACGCTCGTGCTCGGGGCTCTGTAAAATTATTTTGCCCTCCCACTTTATTGGAGGAGAAGGCACAGTAAAAAATTAATAAAAGCTTTTTTCTCTCCCCAGCCTTCCAATCTGTTGACTGAGAATCCCCCGGAATCATTGATCTCTATGAAGGGATTATGCAGCAAAGGTGCCAATACTTTATTGCAGATTTTTTTTTGTTATATAATTAATTGTAAAAAATGTCTACCAGCTCAAGGCGGCTCCATTACTTTCTCATAACACCTGCTTATAGGCTTGTATGTAACAGGATATGCTAATACTTGTCGCACTAAGCCCTTGTAATCTTCATGCTTGAATTTGTGAACAGAGGACCATGTCTTCTCCACGTACTGTAAATAGTGATGGCGTAATATAGCTGTGTGGGGGGAAAAGTCGTTTGAATTCCCCAGAGTTTTTAAATGATCTGAAAGAGCAAGAAAGTGTGATGGTGCAGCGCAGATGTGCAAGAGGAAACTGAATTATTAGGGATTAAGGTAAGATTCACATGCATACCCCCCCTCCTGTATATTACATTTTCCTGGTGACTGTAGTCCATATGCTTATGTGTTTGTCAGTGAACCATGAAATCACTTGGTTTTCATGAAGTCGATTTGCATTTTCAGGTTAAAGCTCAATGGGGCAGTGGAGGTAGCTGTAAAACCTTCATTTGGTGTATCAAACCTGTCTTTTCTTATTACAGCAACAAAAAATCATTACAGTGCCATTATTACTGATGTGACGCCACGTGCTAATGGCATGAGACATGAAGACAGCAGTACCACCTCACACTGTTTTTACACAATTACAGTGCGATCTAAATTTGGAGCATTCTTCATCGTAAGATGTTTTTTATTCTGTTTGCAACATTTAATGAAGTTAGATATATTCACCCAAGCAGGTCACGAACACAGCACAGTGAAAATAATAGAAGAAAACTTTAGATTAATTATTGTTTTAGCTTTTTATTATTAGCTGCTTGAGCGGTGGGAGCCCTTGTGTGCCATTCATATTAATCTTAAGTGTCGTTATGTCAGCTTGCAGCCACATGAAGATTCTGCTACTATTCATTCATCTAAACACTTGCAATAAATCCTCCTGTTGACGTGACATGGACATGTCAAACCCCCGGAATTTCCATAAACTGCTCCGTGCAGACTGGTGCCAGTGCCAAAACCTGTGCACATTGCATGAAGATGAACAGACCTGCCTGTGGGAGGATTATGTGTATAATTAGTGGAACCACATTGCAAAACAGTCCTTTGGGAATTAGGGGAATGTAAAAATCTAATCCCAGCGAGCAATTTGTTCTCCTGGGAAAATATAGCTTGAATTTGATCCAACAACACTGACACTCACAGGAGATGGGTCTACTGGCACATGAGCTTGTATTTAAGAGTATTTCACACTCCACAGTAATGCTTTATACTACTTTTACACATAGTAGAGGTATTACTCTCATAAAATTGGATGAGTTCCTTTTTAAAATTTGGCAAACATAGCCAATGAAAATTATATGATGTGTTGAAAAACCATAGCAATTCCAATAAGTGAGCTTTTTGTTGGTGCTGTTGTGTTTAACGACTGTTTAAAGGGTCAATAATAAAGAGAACGTTTTTGCGTTAGTATAGAGTTTGTATCTTAAAGGAGAAAAAATAGACTTAAAACACTTTATAACCTGAATGAAAAACTTCACTTTAACATTTATATCGACTCGCTCCACTCTGTGATTTAATGATTCATAACTTGCCAGTTGCTTTGGATTAATATCATATTAGGGTGTTTGATGTGTAGTAAGCTATGACCTACTATGAGGTTTTACAAGCTTTTGGCTGATCATATCTCTAAATCATGTCCACTACATCCCCAAAGTATTCGAGGGTAACTGGAGCCAGAACGATCGTAGAGACATTTCACAGAGTAGTTTGCACAAAACCACTGAGATCTTTCTACTTTTACCCAAATTACACTGTTTTATATCTTGTGTAATGTCGCTTGTTGTAACTTGGATGGCAGTGTTTTTTCTCCATTATGTCCAACTGTTTCTGTCAGAACTGAAAACATTAATCAATTAAACGATTAGTCAATTCAAACACTTATCCTGGCAGCGTGACTGTGGCCATGGCAGTATCAGTCGGTTGGCTCCATCATTTTGAACCAGACTGAAATGTGTAACCAAACTATTGGTTGGATTATCATGAATATTTGTGCAACCTTTTTTGTCAATCCAGACAACAAAGCCTCATGATTTTGTTGATCTCTGATTATTCATCACATCGAAACATTTACATATGAAGTTAAATATTTATAAACTATTGGATAGATTGCCATGATATTTGGTGCACATGTTCATGATCTCTTTTTGATGAACTATTGTGATCCTCTGATATTACCTCTAGCACCAGCTTCAAGTTTAAATGCCACTTTGTATAATACTAGTAACATGACTG